TAACCCCAGCCCAGTTACTGTCTGTCCAAACACCCTGTTTTTTTCTCTTAGTATTTACAGCCTGAAATTATCTTGTTTATGTTTGCTTGTATATTATTTGTCTCCTTCTCCCATCTCCACTAGAATATAAGCTCATTAAGGGCGGGCAGGAATCAAGTCTGTCTTTCACCAGTGTTTTCTGCATTCACTACTTTACCTGAAGCATAATTAACTTCTATACATGCATTTAATGGATGGGTGGATGAATAGAAAAATGAACACCCTAGAAATCATCATATTCAAACCCGTCTGCTGAGTTCACAGTGGCCCTAGCCTAGGAGTCTATATGGGAGAGAATTTCCCCCAGAGACACAGGTGCCTTCACCTTCCTACAGCAACGGGCACACTTTCCACTGCCTGCATCATGAAGTCCAGCGTCCCTCCAACCTGTGTGACAGCTCTGTCTTCCACCACTCCCCTCCCTCATACTAAGTTCATGGCATACTCAACTTCATACATGTTGATGGTGTTCTCTCCCTGATGAACATCCTTCCAGACACCTGCTACAAAGCTTCTCCTGGTAGCCAGACAGGCTATTCCTCTCTACTGTCACGGGCCTTCCTGCATACATTTATCACATCCTAATACATGACAATTACAGGACTAATTTCCCCCATTTTACTGCTAATACCTTGAGTAAAAGGGTTATGTTTTATGTATCTATCGACCCACTAGCACTTATCATGGTGCCTCAGGGATACGCAGCAAAACACTGTAGACTGTTCTACCTGCGTATCAAGAATTAATCGAGACTTTTTCTGAATAGAGTGAGAGGAACTGGAACATTCCAACTGTTGTTATTCTGTCTGCTATCTGACCGTTGTTAGTGAGCCAGTGGGAGAGGTGACTTTTAATTTGCAAAACGGAAATTTATTTCAATTAGTTATAGCTTAATTAAGAAGTCATACTTGACTGTATACATATATATGTACATACACACACACACACATATATATATATATTCAATTATAGTTGACATACAATATTATACAACATCAGCTTCAGGTGTACAGTGCAGTGATCAAGCCTCTTCCCCATCCATGTGACCACCTGACATCCTACAAAATGTTCACAACATTATCAATTACATTCCTCGAACTGTCCCCCATGTCCCCATGGCAACACTGCAGCTGTGTATTTATGCTGTCTCGCCCCCTCCCTCTCTCTCTCATCCCCACCCCCCCAACCAACTGGAGTCAAGGGATTTGTAATATATATGTATGATATTGGGGGGAAATGGGGCGGCGGATTGGGGGAGGGGGGTTGTCACTTCGAGGGGTAAAAAGTATAACTATTGCACTGTGTTGTACAGCTGAAACTAATTCTAAAAAATGTGTATTTCATAATAAAAAATAACTTAATAAAAAAAAAGTCATACTTGAAAATATACTATGTCCAAAAGAGACACACCAATACACACATACCCAACCTTTTCACTTCCGATTTTCAATTTTTGAAAATATAGATTTTCAGGACATAAAAGAAATAAGAGGTAACTGACATCACTAGGAAATTCTCCAAGTTGGACTTTTTTTTTTCACTTAGCACAAGTGCAGACAGCACTTCTTGAAACCATGTAATGTTCACTTTTATGATAGCCCTACATTCAATCCCATTGGCCAACGCAAGTTATAGCTCCTCTGGGCGGCCCCAAAGAGCAGGCAGATCAGCACCATGGACAGCAAACGCTGCTTCTGACACCACAGCTGTGCTATCAGACGCACTACTGAGGAAAGGCTGGTTTCGGCGTCCCTCTGGGGGTCCCGGGGACAGAGTGCATCTGGATCTGGGTGAAATCAGACGATGGGGTTTTAAGGAAATAACCACTCCTCCAAGATGCCTCTTTCACTTACTGACCTATACTGACTGATTCGCTACTTTTTCAACAATCTGCTCTTCTGTTCTGAAGGTGCCAACATTTTCATACCGAAGCAAACGCAAACACCTACCTAGAAGATGTGGAGGAAATCTCTTCTTTTTACCTGTCCAGGATCCATGATCCTTTCTACCTTTGCAAACCACCTTTCAAATAAATAAGCTGTTTTAAAAAAGATGATACTAAGGAATTGTCGATGCTGTTGGGGAGGGTTCATGATTATATTGACGTTATGTTTAAAATGGGACTCTGTCTTTTAGCAATACAGTCTGATGGTGACAAATAAAGTAGTAGGTCTGAGATTTGCTTCAAAGTAATCCAGGATCAGGGGAGTGGGTAGACATATAGGAAAGACCAGACTGGCAGTGAGCTGCTAGTTGTCAAAGTGGGGAGATAACATGGGAGTTAATTCTACTTTTTCATAGGTTTGAAATTTCCCCTTAAAATACACACATACGTATGAGCGTGTATGTGTACGCGCACACCCAGATGCTGAGAGGCCACAAAAAGACAGGTTCCTGAAGATCTCGTGATCCTGCACCTAAGGGATTCCGAAGCGCAAGCTCTTGCATTATCTCCAGAGGAGGCTACGCTGTCACTGTCCCGTGTGGGTCTGAGGTCTTGTCAAGTCCGTGTGACGGAACAGGAACTTCAGATGTCCAGGGATGACTACTCTCTCCTGGACAGCCGTTTCTCAGAAACGAAACCTCCTGTGTACCTCCCTCCCTGACAAAAGGCCGCTGGGGCCACCTGGAGTTGAAGGGCTGGGGCTGCGTGTAAGGACAGGGTGCCTGGTTGTGACGGCAGACCCAAAGGTCAGGAACGGAAGTCCTAGGTAAGAACTGAACCCAAAACACAAAAGTCATTTTTAAATATAAAATGGGCTAGATAAGTAGAGGGAGCCAAGGTGTGATGCCAA